TCACCCAGCCACACAGGCACCGCAAAGGTGAGAGACACACGTGAACAACTAGACACAATCGGAAGGGTGCACATACACTTTGGATTGTGCCTTATTTTACTTTTATGTGTAAATTAAAGCTTTAGATACAGACTCATGCAAGGTACAAACAGCAAAATGGAAAACAGTGATGACTATTCTGAAACAATGAAACTCGTTCCCTCCGGGTACTCCGGCTTCCTCCCACCGTCCAAAGACATGCAGTTTGTGGGGATAGGTTAATTGATTAGTCTAAATTGCCCATAGGTGTGAATGTGAGTGTGAATGGTTGTCTGTCTCTGTGTGTTAGCCCTGCTACAGACTGTCGACCTGTCCAGGGTGTACCCCTGTGACAGCTAGGATAGGCTCCAGCACCCCCCGCGACCCTGAAAAGGATAAGCGGAAGCGAATGGATGGATGGAACTTGAATGTGACGTTAACAGACTCTTGCTACTTTTATTTCTTCTTTTTTGTCATCATTATAAATATCTACTTGGTAAAAGTCATTGATTGTCAGACAGACTGTGCCTCTGCATATCAGTGCCTGGTCTGAGTATCCTAAATCTGTGATCTTCTTCATCCTGTTATCTAATGAGTGTCTCCAGATATCCTGTCTGAGTAATGCAGAATGGAACATTTTGCCAAGAGGGAGATGGAGGTGGTGTCAGCTGCATGAGCTGAACCAGCAAAGCATAATTTAAACCAAAGTTCAATAACAGAGAATTTATCTGCTGTTTGAGCAGTTTGTCTCATATATGGGTTGATTATCTCAGTTCATCTTCGGGGTGACCCAGAGACCCGTCACTCACTCAAATATTTATTTTATTTTGGACCGTACTTTAGCTTTTTTGTTCCTGTAGTGCTGTAAATGTACAACCTGATAGTTTTCTTGTTGTCATTTAGACTTTGATAACCACATGTGTATTACATACAGATGTTTTGTATCCTAACATAACATAGTCATTGTTGCATTCCTGTCAACTCGAAGCAGTTTGACCAGTCTCCTCTGTCTGCTGACATCGACAGGGCATTCTCTGTAAACCATAGTGATGGTCGTGTGGGGAAAATCCTAATAGATCAGCAGTTTCTGAAATACTTAGAACAACGAACACCATGAACAACCATGTTCAGAGTCACTTTCCTCATTCTGATTCTCAGTTTGAACTTTAGCAGGTCGGTTTGACCATGTCTACATGCCTGAATGCACGGGAGTTCTTGCCATTTGATTGGCTCGTTTGATATTTGTGTTGATAAGCTGCCGAACAGGTGTACCTAACAAAGTGTCTATTGAGTGTATGAAATATAATATGCATACTCAGCATATAGTGCACACATAAAGTATATAACTGGCATGTGCACATGTAGAAATAAAGGCCCAATCAGATGCAAGTAAGAAAAAGAAAAGGTTGTAGCCTGAAAGCATGAGTGACATTTCAGGGAATGAATATAGCCATATACCCAGTCATATACCGACAAATGAACACCCGCGTAGGCATGCAGAAGTGGTTTAATGTAAGAAGTCCTGCTTTTTGGTAAATGTGATAGTTGTGTGACTCATTGTCTGCCTCTTTCTAAATGGCTTCTCTTCATCATTTGATTTCTTCCGCTTTTCTTCGCCTTCTTCTCTCATCGTTAGACTTTTACAATGTAAATGCCTGTCCTTACATTGTAAGGCAGTTGGATTCTCTCAAAAGTCTTAAGCTTCATGTAATCACAGTCACTAGAAAAAACATTTTTACTAGGCTTACTATGTTGTTGCCAAACCACAGTCGAATTGGAACAGTCCAGCATCCCACGATGGATTAGCAGCCAATACGGTCACAGCTACGACATGTTTTAGGTGTCACGACAGACTGACAGTTGATCTAATCATCAACCCAGTATTTTTTGAAAATGAGCGCTCGTGAGCACCTGTTATGTGCAGATTTACTTAAGAAGACGAGGCTAAGACAGCTTGTATTCCTCTGAAAGCTCTCTTTGTATCCTCAGGTTTCCTGATTTGATTATTTTAAGCCAGTTATTGTGATAGATGGATGATTCATCCAGTAACCTAATGGAATCTAATCTCTTCTTCAGGTTTCTCCTTCTTCTCCATTTCTGCCACTAACGCCTTCCTCTTTTTTTCTTGTGGTTTCATTTTCTTTGTCCCAGGAATCCTCAAGAACCGTCTTGGCTGTCCTCCTGCACTCCAGGGTCTTTCCAGTATGGGCCGGGTCCCCAGTGAGCTCAACTGGTACCGAACCTCTACTCTTGGCCACCGAGGTGTTCCTGCTGCCTCCTACGGTCGTATGTACTCTGCCACAGCTGGTGCCACTGGAGGCTCCGGCTCGCTCTCCCAGCCAGCTTCCCGCTACTCCTCTAGGGAGCACCTGGACTCGCTTGCACGGAGGCAGCTGTCCAGGGATCCACTCGGGAGACAGACGGTCGGAGGATCAAGAGACCGGTTGGACTGCCGGGGCTCCAGGGACAACCTGGATCTCTTACCCAGGAGGAGAGAGCTGGGGCTGGGGCAGGGGTCAATGTTAGGGACCCTGGATCACCAGCGAGTCTCATTATCCAGGGAGAACTTGACAGGATCCAGGGACAGACTGGACAACCACCATGCTACTGGCTTCCACGGATCGAGGGAGGATGTGAGTGGAAACGGAGGGGCTGTCGGTGCCGGGATTGAGGGATACCTCGGCGGATCAAGGTTGCAGCTGAGCTCGCTGACTCGGCGACAGGCCTCATCCCGGGAGCACCTCGAAGAAGCTCTCGTAAGCAGTAGATCAAGGGAGCAACTTGACACCAATGGAATGGGAGCCCAGGCCCAGCCGTGTCGGGAGTGGCTCCGCACTCTGCCACCCCGCCAGCCTTCACACCCTGACCAGCCGCCCTCCTCTTCTCCTCCTCCCCCGATATCTGAGGAGCCTCAGCAGGAGCACCTACCTCCTTCAGCTCACGCCAGAGGACGACTAGACTCAGCTTCATGTAGGTTTCCTGGTCAGGTCGCCCCCCAGGTCGCAGGTTCAAATCCAAACCCCTTGGGTCGACAACCGTCCAGTGAACACCTGGATATTCTTTCCTCCATTTTAGCATCCTTCAATTCCTCTGTCCTCACTCCTCCCCCTGCTGCCCCAAACACTGGTCCAAACGGCTCCGTCCACGGACCCTCCCCATCCCCGTCCCAGTCTGCCACCTCCCATAGCATATCTGAAGTCTCCCCTGACTCGGAGTAAGTCCTTCTGAGTGGAAAATCCACCCTCAACCCACCCTCCTCCTGTCCTTTTCTCACATGCATCTTCTTCTCTTCCTCTTTTCTCCAGCATCTGTCATCTTGGACTTTTGACTTGTGCTGTTCTAGTTTGTTTATCTCAGCCTTCCCCAACCCTTTCAGCAGGCTTCCTGCATTCCAGCTTCTTTATCATCTCTTCCCATGTGTCTCAGTCTATTTTCTTCTGTTTTCCATCTCCCTCTTCTCTCCCTCTCTTTTTCTTTGTCCTTTTGCCTGCAAAGCTCATTTCCATTTTACTTCTGTAGTTTCACTGTGAACTTGAATTTACAATTAGTGAAGTGCTGTACAGACGTAGTGATGACTCATTTTTCTTTCCTTCACCTTAGAGCCAACAGAAGTGAGGGACAGTCTTGATGACAAGCTCCGCATCCCTTAATGCATTGCTACAGTGCTGGGGTCACATTGGACATGTTCAAAGGTCGCGGATGGACCTGAAGCACCGGGACAACCTGGAACATTCGAGGACAGGGAAACAAAACCGAGACAGAGGAAGCGCAGAGACACAAAGACGGACAAAACATCCAATGATAACACAGATTCAAGAGAAAGTCAGTGGGCGGCGTGTACTGTGTAAAGAGTTTTCGAGTGTCACCGCCTACGGCGAACGACGATGTTTCTGTGGACGATGAGTCAACCACCTCTACTACCTACAAACTCTTAAAGGCAAAAACACAAACTCCTCAGATTTCAAACAAACGAGATCCGTCAAAATGAGAAAAAAAAAAAGAAACTGTAAATAACATTTTTATACATTTTGTATCTTTTTCATTGGAGATGAAGAAGAAATCTCTTGTGATGTTTCTTTTTTTTTTTTTTTTTAAATGACTGTGCTCATGTGAGGTTGTGAGTGAGGTTGGTGTGAGTGCAGTCTTGGTCGTTGCTGAGGGGGGGGATCCCCCTCCCCACAAAAAGAAAAAAAAACTCCCCAAATTTCTCCCTAAAAAAGGTTTTCCCTAGAAACATTTCCTCACACACATCAACTTTATGTATAGCGACAGGGGTCTGGCAATAGAATCGAATGAGATTATCGAAACCGCGAGATGTGGTTGGAGGGAAAATATCGAAGCAGGAGGAGGAAGTGATTGTAAATAGAAGGAGGAGTTATTTTAAGAGATTTGATGGAGCGAGATGATTGTGCAGAGAAAAAGACTGAAGGTTTAGCAGTTAAAAAGCTCAGTCACAAGCGTCAATGCATCAGCTCTGTGCTGTATATGAATGTGACCTTGTCATCTATCTGTGTATCTTCATGCCTGGTGCTATCTGAACCAGACCATATCAGACGGCTGATATTACAAGACCATATCTGTAGCGTTCTGGAGACCTGGTGGGTGAAGGTTGATATCTCTGTCTGCCTCTCTGGATGAGGATGTATCGCGTAACAACCATTTAAATCCCCTCAAAGTTTTGTGCACTTTGATGCCTGTCTCGAGGGACGACACAGGAGCAGCCGAACCTCAAGACCATTCGTAAAAGCTTCTCCGCAAAACTAAACCAAAGGGACTTAAAATCTGTATGAAACCCTGATATTCTTCTGTTTCCTCTGATGGAAATGACTTGTGCAGGGCGCGTTGTAGCTCGGTTTTGTTAAATCATGATCTTTTTCAGTAAGAAGTCTCAAATTAAAAGCTGTTTCTCTTCATGAGGCCGTCATCAGCGCTACTACATAACCCGCATAACTGTTTGCCATTTTATTTTACCCGCGTAGTACATAAGCAAGCGGATTTTCATGTGGGAAGGGAGCGGATAAGAGTCATCGTAACACACTCAGATATTTGTGTGAAGACATGAAAGCAGCACTGTGGTATGTTCACAGCATGGTGCCAACCTGAATATTTAAATTGCTCCTTTATATTTGAGAAATTCAACAGAAAAGAAGCTCATGCTTCAGAAACAATCGAACACGAGCCCACAAAAAAAACCACGAAAACTGATTTTTATTTATTCAGATTCTCATTTAGATGGTTTCACAAAAAACGAGTTATCTTTCAAGATCTGTCAAAGCTTCTGCGGCAGATTGCAGAGGGGAGAGGAGATGTCAGCTGTGTCAGCGCTAAAAGCCTCTAAGTGGTTTCGAGATGCAGGTCTTTCCATCAGCAGCTGCACCTTTCTCGCAGCTGTCGGAGGAAGCCCAGAGTTCAGCCTTTAAGGTAACAACACATGGGTGTTTTCAGGAGTGGAGACGGGGACAGGGAGGCTTTTTTCTATAGGAAACTACAGCGGGTTGTAAAAACTGAAGGAAAATGGGAGTTCTGTGTTGCCAACATGTGTTGTCTGTGTCTTTGAGCAGAAAACAGCCAAAAGCCAATGCAAAAAGTAATAAATGAAAAAATAAGGCTAAGATATTGCATAACGGGAAAGATTTTTTTTTTAAAAAAAGATACCAAATCAGGCAAGGTTGCAAGAAGAACAAATTGGGTCAGGAAACATGACTGCAGAAATGTAGCCGCAGGGAGGAAGGCGTGGATGTTACTCATCACAGGGAGACAGAGAGAAAAAAAGACACGTGGATGGAAACGCTCGAAGTGGAAATAAACACACACCTTACAAATAAGTGCATATCTGCCTGCTCTGACCGCTGCTCTGCCGGTCCCGTGTCCCTGAGACGTGACAAGCACAACCTATTTGCGACAGTATTATTGCCAAAAAAGTCCCGAGTGCAGCGCAACACCACCCACCGGTCTGTTAGCCTGACAAATCCTATTTTCTTCTCCATCTATATTTTTCTTCAGCTGACCTTCAACTTTGAAAGACATGAGATTTACTTTATTTATTGATAATTTATTGACACTGTATTGGTTTCTTATTTTCGCCATCTGAATGAGAGGATGTTGAGGAAGCGTGTGTGTGTGTGCGCGTGTGTGTGCAAATGTTCTTGTTGTCATATGTAACATTTCCTGTCATCTGACTCTCATGGCTACAAATCCACAGATGAAAGGCAAGAAAAGAATCCGAACTTACACCTGGAATTCAAATCTGAAGAGTTTAGTCAGTATTCAAACTGGATCTGTTGTCTAATCTTAACTGGTAATCTATCCAATTAATTGACTACAGGTTTAACAGTAGTTCGGACCAATCCGAGCCACAGAAGCGAGGGCAGACAAACAAACAAGCAAAAACCAACAACAACAACAACAAAAGATGATTAGAGACAAAAGGAGAGGAACAGAGAGAGGTGGAGAGATGATGGGAGGTTGTATTTGTTAGCTTGTGTGTTCATTATTGGATGCCTTCTATCTTGCCGTCTGGATGGAAACAGCTGTTCCCCTGTTACCGCGGAAACAAGAGAAATGTTGGACATTAAAAAAGAAAAAAAATGACTTATTCCTACAAGGCTCTGTGTTCTTTCTGATTATTCTTGTCTGGGAGACACAAAGAGCTTTGCTGTTTCATATTCATGCCAACAGACATTTTCAGGTGTAGAAAAAGTGAGCGGAGGAAAGATCCTGTGACAGGGTGACACCTTTTTCTCTAGAAGGCTCCTCTCCCTGACTTGCGTTGACTCTCAAAGTATTCTGTCACATTCAGAGACATCAGAGGAGGGCGGAGACGTTCAACTCAAGAGACGGCGGGGATCAGCGGAGCATACATACATCTTAAGATTTTAACCTACGCAGGGCTGAAGCAAAAACTCATCAGTGCTCTTATTAGATTATTAATGTTACCGTTTGTTCACAGCCAGGTTCATTAGGCACTGATGTGCAGTAGTAAAGCTAAAAATATTTGATCTAAAACGTTGGGATCCGAAGGGGGGGGAAATGGACATTTTTGGGAAATATGCTTCCTGCCAAAAGTTGGCTGTGAAGATCAATACCACTCTCTCCTGAGTGTCAGCTGGCATAAAGCAGAGGGAGAGCAGCCATTTTTCAAAGCGTTGCATTTTTCATCTATTCTCTAAGTGTTTGAACTGTACCGGGGGCCTTAACAGCATTCATCAAAAAGATAATGGCCTCTTTTGGTGTTTTTGACGATCGCTGAGTGCGCCTAATTATTTTGCTGAAGATACTCTTAAAGAGTTTTCTTTTTTAAACAGCACTGTGGTGGTGGAACCCCTCCTACCACCACAGTCCCAGCAGAGAACTTTAAAAATGGCCAAAAGAATGTGGACACAAGGCAACCTGACCTTCTGTCCATGTACTCCAGTGTATTTGTAGGTAAGTGGTGTGACCCAATACTTTCCTCGATATGCTGTCTTACAACTCAATATTACAGACCTCTCATTTTCAGAAGAAGACGCAGAACAATCACAGGTGTGCACATACATCAGTGTGGTACCTGTTTCTCCCACTTATTTATTCACTTACACATTTGTTTACTTACATATCAAAAACAAAGTTAAAGCATGCACTAAAAAAGCCTGTTAAAAGATTGTCCTTTTAGGAATGTCATTTCGTCCCATGTGCGTGTCACCTCCGTACATTCTTCTTTTAAAATAACCTCGAACGAACTTTCACCTTTAAAAAAATTAAAATAAAAAATACACCGTTAAGACGATCAATGAAAATTGATTTTTTCAATCCGGGGCAAGATTGTGATAGATGACACATAAAACAGGGTTGTCATTACAAAGCATTTCAACAAGGAGTTTAAAGTGACTTACAGTTCTCTGTACTGTTGTGTCGTTTTTAAAGATTAGTTCAAAAACTGCTTAAAATGTTTCTCTATTAAGATGGAACTCACATTGCAGAGGGATTGGCTGCCGTGATTACAACAATTGTTGCTCAATGTGAAACTCTTCAGCAGCAATGTGTAACAAAAAACAAAAAGTAGTGTCATGGCGTATACACAAAACAATACAAGAATGACACTCCGAAAAATAGAAACATTTGAGCGTATCAGCCAGTCGGGTCAGACGTTTTCTCCGCTTCGTCGCCACTACTGGAGGAAGACGGCGGCACGTCCTCGCCCATCCTCTTTAGCTTGGCCTTGTAGTAGGCCTTCTTCATCCTGAAGGCTTTCTCCTTCTGCCGGGCTGCTCTCCTCTTCTCCCTCACCAGCTCCTGCTCCCACGCCAGCACCTTCATCCTATTCTCCCACTCCAGGATCTTCATCTGCTGCTGCTGCTCCAGAGCGTCCGATCTCTGCTGGTGCTCCAGTCTGGACAGGTCTACGGAGTCGTGCTGAGCTGGGCGGCGCCCGGCGTCTTCCGTCTTGCCGCCTGATGGTTGGAGATGCTGGCTGCTGAGCCTAGAGGTGCCTGAGAGGTCAAAGTTCAAAAGCTTCACTGTGGTTTGTACTAAAAAGCACGAGCTGAGGTTTGCAAGGCAACTTTAGATTCACTTTTCTTACTTTCAAGGCTGTTTAACACCAGGAGCTGCAGTTTAGAGAATAAGGCTGAAATTTAAAAAAACAAAACACAATTTAATCCCAGTCAGATCTACCTGCGCCTTAATGCCAGAGCAAAGCTGATAAACCTATCGTCTTACAGTTTTAACCTGGACTATATTTTGAAAATCCTCAGATTTATTTAGGATAATAGTTTTTCCTTCTTGTGAGCCGCTTTGCGATCTGATGCAGGCACAGCTGTGCTAACTGTTAGACTCAAAAAGCCCGAGTTGGCTCACCAAAGGGTATACCTTGTCACAGGTAAACAAAGCAAACTAAATAAATACAGCAGGTTATAGTTTGTGTTAGATATAATATGTGTCACAGGGCTTAGATGTGAAATGCTATGAATTACTTAGAAAAGTTTCTTAATAAAGTGGGTTAATGAAAACAAACTTGAACATGCTTTTGCAGTACAGCCACAGGTGTAAGCTGATGATTTATATATCCATGTGTGAGGTTGTCATACAGTGTCTGAGTCAATTCATAACTGTATCATCGATGGAAAATCTATTGAGAACTCTGCAAAGAAAAATTCTAATTTACTGACCTGAATGCTTCTTCTGCTAAATGCTCTTTTTCAATGCTAAAAAGTACTGTACTACATGTGATACCATCAGCAAAGACTGTCAGCATGAAACACACACAAACAGTAAAAACATCCCTGGATAGAAAAACGTAACCTGAAGAAAGATTTCTGAAGACTAGCTCGCCTATGAGACTTCAGGCTGTGTTTGGTCACACCAAACAATGACTTTCAAGCTCGTCAGAACTGTATATACTTTACTTTTTGCCTCATATATTACATTTAAGTAATATATGACGAGTGGCTCAAGATTTTTGCACAGTACTGCAGGTTGTCAAAACATTCAATTTCAGCCACAAAAGGGGAGCCTCGGAGATAAATTAGAGGAAAAGCAGAGGAATGAACTAAACAGCTATTTAGTCTCATATTTATGATGCACAGTGAGCGTGTAACACCATGGTACACGGGCACTCCAAACAGCATACCCCCTGCTATTAATTGGGCTATCAATCTTCTTAATGACAGTAATTTATTTAGGTTGGTCACATGGGCTGCTTTTTCCCATTCACAATCTTCTAATAAGCATTCAACACTAAAGCCATCTCTGCGGCAAAACAGCTATAACTTATTGAAGTCTGTGTATAATTACGCCCTTTCCTCCTCACCCTTAATAATGTTAACTGAGCCAATTATCTCCTTCAGCTCAAGGTTATTGTTTCTTAATTAAGAGTGGAGTATTAATCAAGTTAATAGTAGAATATCCCACTATTTGCCCACAGAAAGTTCCCTGCACAAGGGTTTCCAAGCAACACATGCTTAAGCAGCTTGCAGGGTGTTATTTGTTGGTACCTGGTGCTGTGAAGTAGGCAGCAGGGAATGCCACATCCTGTAGCTCTGCATTGTGGGAGGTGGAGTTTGTAGAGGGGCTGTGGTGCAGATCTGACCAGTCGTTGCCTGTTATTCTGTCCAAGGCGTCACGCTGGAGGCAGATGGCCACTTGCTCCTTGCTGTCCTCTGCCTAAGAAGGAGGCGAGCCATTTGGTGTTTCTGGGATTAATGTTTCTGTCTGAATCTAAGGTGTCATGAGCAGCTCCAGGTTTACCTCTTAAATAAAATGAAACCAAAACTTTTAAAGTAATTACCTGATTCACGCTGCCATTCACCTGTCCTGTCACCATCAAACAGCCTGATAATAAGGAAGAAGAAGAAGAAAAAAAAAAGGATAAGGAGACAACCAGGGAGGGACTGCAAGTATATGTCTATCAGAAAAATGAACAAAGAGCGCCTCCCTCTGGTGGACACAAGCACAACATCACCATAAAGCACCTTACTCAATCATGATGGCCATAAAAAACAAGCAGAAATGATATCGGAGCTTCTGCAAAGCAAACCTAGAAAGTAAAAAAGTCCACAAAGTAAGTGCTGTCAGTAACCTGGTGGCAGGTTTACTAAATGGAATGAAGTGAAAAGTGTAAAACGTTTAACCAACTCCCAGGACTTCATTATACTATAAGACACTTTAAGTAACTGCTGGGTTAACTGAACATTTCTTGGTGTAGATGAGCAGTATCGTGCAAAAGGGGGACAGTCATAAAATGAGCACAGTCCTTTTAATCGCTCTGTAAACAGAGTGAAACAATATTATTACAATACTTCACTTGTGACTTGATATTTTTGTGATTTTTAACATTTTACTCATTATTCTGAGTATTGCAATAACATATTGTGATTTATCACCGTTTTTCAACTGCAAATAATGTTGCAGTTACATGCAATGTACTTCGTATAAAGCAGTAATTAACTGTGACAAATCACTGAAAACCATATATGTTGCAGTCTACACAGAGAGAAATTCACACCTAATTATTATATCAGTGCGCAACCTTCCTGTTCTTTAGGACCAGAGTACAAGCAGCTGAGACAGAGAGCTGTACTCTGGGAATACTACGAATGAGAGGGCTGATTTCATATATCGCCATCCAGAGACAACGTTAGCAGAGCAAACTTACACGAAATAAACTCTGACCCAAAAACCATCAAACACACTTTTCTTGACAAAGTTATCTCCTAATACAAAGCAAGCTCATGGCTCAGTCACATGAGTAAAAATAGAACAACAACCTTCTTACATCCACACACACAAAAAAAATTTTTTTCACAGGTCAAATAACAGGAGGCATCCTTTCTGCAATAAGTCGCAGTGTGACTTAGACCAACTGCCATCACTCTCAGACTGACTGTCAAATCTGAAGGTTTTCAAAATAACTGTTGTCTAATTTATGAAGGCAGACAGATCACCAACATGTGACTATCAGTCTGAACTAGTCTGTGCCAGTGAGCATGACTCCAGGGGACTTGAATCAACAGGCTGCTAGCTGCTTGTACTTTAGTTACATTCCTATAGAACATGAAGGCTAATATCATATTAGAAAATGTGAAAAATCCCAATAATATTATATCGTGGTGTGTCTGATGATTCCCACTTCTCACTATTAAACACACTTTTCATGCCTGTGCTCCCAGGTTATTTAATTACATCAAAGACATAACAACAACAATAAGAATTATTTTTCATTTAATAAAAAAAATTATATAATGCTAAAGAGCTTTAAAAGAAAGAGAAAAACCCGGAAAAACAAACAAACCTTTAAGTTACCCGGATTTGTTTTACAGGGTCAGTAAACGAATGAATGAGATATTGGGTGTTCCAACTTTCTGTTAAACAAACAAACATCATTACAGTCTTAATTAATTACCCTAATTAAATCCATTGCTTAACCCCTTGAACTACGCAGTAGACCAAACTAATGCACCTTATATTCATTGTATGTTAAAAATGTATGAGCCATAATTTAATAATAATGGAAACATAGTTGCTATCCCAGGAGGAAGTCTTATTACTTCAGCGGACTCTGAATGCTGGCTGCTGCTCCTTGCTGTTGATTTTAGGCTATAATGACACGGGATATAGAAACCTTAAATCAAAGACATAACAGACACCATATAAATCAACTCTGAAATTGCATAAACTGTACAGCTGTGCTCGGTAATGTCCTGATGACCGCTCGTCCTGGGACAGATGTTTTTACACTCCTGTCTAGACTGGTGTAGTCACACGCACACACACCAACGATAACACCACATCACGATTAAACCATCTGAACAAACAGCGATGAAGCAGTTATCACACCAAGATCTCGTGAATTCTCTTAACAGATTTCTGTCATTCCTTTCAAGATGTTCTCCAGTCTGAAAAACTGGAAGTGACCCACCTTCCAGCAGCTTGCGGACCGCTGCTTTGTGGCCAGCTCCCCCTGCGTGGCTGGTAAGGGCAGCCTCGCCCATCGTCTGAAGTTTGATTGATTTGCAACAGGCCCTGCATCGGGCAAAATGAATGTCCTGGACGTCCTTAACCAGCCAGTCCTTGTAAACATCCTTTGCGAGCCAGGAATCTTGGAATTTACATTTGCCAGGCATAGCTAGCTCTAAAAGTTAGCTGGACCGCTACCTCCCAGCCTGGAGCAACCTCTTACCTTATGTACTGCCTCGTGATGCGTTCACGTGTTCTGCGAGGATTTGAAGACACATTTACGCTGTTGCGCATGTATCTTTTGGCATTAGGTTACAAAATATCGTGAAAACGTTATAATTTAAACGCTGAGATAATTAACATGACTTTCCAGTTATGTACCCCAAATCCCACCGAAGTAGGCAACGCAGTAGAATCAGAGTGCCTGAATTTCATCACTACAGGTGCAGCTGTGGAATTAAAATGATAATAACGGCTTTTTGTATAAAGAAGTGGGTGTAAAAGCGCTTTGAAACTTCTTAGTAGGTATCCTGGTATTTTAAAATCAATGCCTGCGACTGAGGCTACTGACTGAGTTTTATCGAACATCCTTAAACGCAGCATAACATAGAAGGCTGTCCCTCACGTGCACAGAGTTCACCAATAAAAATACGATTAAACTCCTACTAGCCAATCAGCGTTGAGAAAGCCGGTAGTCCAGCTTGATTGGTTGAAACCCGGCAAGAACGACTGTACAGAAACACATGGGTACCAGACTGCCTTTTGGTGGACGTTAATAATGATCTTATAACGTTTCTGAACAGTTTCCTGCATTGGGAGCGTGTGTAAGTAGGCACGTCGAAATATTATTGTTTACCTGTTAAAGTTTTCTGCCGTTCGATATCTTATTCCTTTCCAAATAAGACAAGAAGAACTCCTCCTGTTAGCTTGTTTTGCTAATCATAAGGGTAATCTTCACTCAGCATTAGACTTTAGTAAATACAAGAGCAGACTGCACTACCCGGAGTCTCAGCATGCTTTACAAGTACGATTTGTAAGTTAAAACTGCATATCTTCCCTTCATAATGGTCTTAATTTTTCGGCTGCTCTCTTTAGGGGTCGCCAAAGCGGGTCATCTGTCTGTATTGCACCGTATCCCCGTCATGTGCCTTTGTTGACCGCAGTTAATCTTTAAGTGATGGAGACGGTGGCCCTGGTTGCTCCAGTTACAGCTTTGGAGTTCCTTCAGGATGCGTTTCTAATTAAAGGTTAGTGTTCAACATATAAGATAAGCAAGTAGTAATTCTTGTGATGCTCTGCTGTGTTTTTCCACAGTGCTCCTATATTAACTGCATTTTTGTTACAAGTTCTTTATTGTTAAACTTTAACTTATTCAGAACTTCTTCATTTTGTATCTGTGCCACATTCTCTTTGTAACTCTGGTTGCTGTAATGGTTAGCTTGAACTTTAGAGTTCCAAATTTTGTACATTATTGCACAATACAAACACACACAACTTTTCTTTCGTGGCAGGTGAGGGTCCGGTCTTGTCGGTGTACAGACTCAAGCCTCGCCCTAAAGCCTGTGCCTCATTGAGCATTCTCCATCATTACCGGATTCATGGAATAAGACCTAGAAGGTGGGAAGCTGAGCCACCACGGAGTGCCGGTTAGTATAAGCTGTTAGTATGAGCTGTTTCTTGTTTTGTTTGATTGTTTTTACTATATGTTAATATGTCGAGAAAATTATTTACAGAGCAATACGAAAGTGAAAGAAAGGCAAGTCTGGAACCAAGAATGGGTTCTCAGCTATGACAAAAGTTAAAGTATAAGCAGTTAAAGGTATGCTTGCAGGTGTTAGATTAAATTGAGGATATACAGTATACATATTATCTTTATTAGACAATTATTTATTGCGTATTAAAAGTCTTTATTCACGTAAAGCCTCCAGCTATTTTTGCTCTAATTTTTTTAAATTTTAATATACATAAATTTTTTTGCTCTTATTCACCAGCACTGAGCACTACAGAGCCAAATGTCTGCGACCTTGCAGTATTTGGAGGCAAAGCTGTGAGGCTTGTAAGCTTCCGTGTGGAGGATGGGGAGCATCTTCGCCTGGAGGTCCTGGGTCCCCTCATGGAGCTACAGGACTGGGCTCTGGATGTCCGCTGGCTCTCTGGAGGCAAACAGCCACTGCTGTGTGTGGCTCTTGCTCATAATAGTGCTCTTCTCTTGGATGTCACAAAAGGAAATGCCGTGGTGCAGCGTTCCTGTCTGGAGGGGTGTTTGCTGTACTCTGCTCTCCTTCTGGTTCATGAATCCTGGGTGGATACTGTCATAGTTGGAGGGACTGTGTTCAATCAGCTGGTTCTCTGGAAACCCGGAGGAGGAGACAGAAGTGACAATCCTGAAAACAAAGCTCCAATTGAAAGGCGTCTACTGGGCCACACTGGGGTCATCTTCAGCATCTCTTACCTCCAGGAGAAAGGATATTTAGCTTCAGCCTCTGATGACCGCAGTGTACGGGTGTGGGGTGTTGGCACTTTAGGTGGGCCTGAAGGTAAATGTGGGGACTTGAACCCAGTTTGTTTAAGGATCCTATATGGACATCAGGCCAGGGTGTTCTCAGTCCGTCTCTCATTAGGGAATATCTTCAGCGCTGGGGAAGATGGCACCTGTTTAGTCTGGGACTGGGCTGGAAGCGGGAAGGTGGTTCGCACGTTGAAGGGACACCGAGCAGGGGGTGTTCGTGCACTGGCAGTCAGTGAGGGAAAGGATGCGAGCTGGGTGGCTACAGGAGGGGCGGATGGAGGGGTAAGGTTGTGGAGAGTGGAGGGCAATGAGAAGAAGGAGTGTCTAGAGGAGGAGACAGTGACAGAGAAACTGACCGACCTGAAATTTCCTGGTCAAGGCCTGCCTAAAGTTGTTTGCTTAGCAGGAGAAGAGGATGGCAGTACAAGCTGGAGTCAGTGTAAGCCTGTAGTTTGCACTGACAAAGGAATAGTTTACCAATATAGTGTTGGGAAGTGGGAAGTAGTGTGGAATGGGACTCCAGAGTTTCAGTCCTACTGTGTGATGGAAACAATAACTATCACTGTGAAGGAGTCGACAACCAAAGTTGATTTGTGTGCTGTGGGAAACCTCAGTGGGTGCTTACAGATCTTTCCCATGTCTCATCCTCAGTCTGGAATTCTGCTTACATGTGGATCAGGGAAGATCCATAGTCTTATTTGGCAGAAGGAAAAAGGGCGTGCGTATTTGTTAGCTTCAGGTGCTGAAGGGCGTGTCTATCGCTGGTGTGTAGAGACAAAATTCAATGAAACCTGTTCTTTAGCTCTCAGCATCACTGCTCTACCTTCTTTCCTCCTCCCCTCTTGCGCTAAGCGCTGGCTTACAGCTGCAGTGCGCCTCCAGCGCAGGTCAAGGGAGGTGCTTTGGGTGTGTGGAGACAGGAGAGGATCCCTGCTTCTGTTTCAGGAAAGAGAAAACTCAAAGCAAAGAAAAGGAGATGGTGAGGAAACAAATGAAGAATTACTGACAGATGGTAAACAAGGTGACGATGAGGAAGGTGGGCCTGAGGGAGAGGGGAAAGGCAAGATGGAGAATGAAGGAAGCAAAGAGGTGCATGACCTTTTGCTGCATCCTCTGAGCTGTCTGTTTGGGGTGCACGGGAAACAAGGTGTAACCTCAGTGTATGAGTACCAAGGCTTGTTCTATAGCACTGGCAGGGACGGCTGTGTTAGAGTTTTCAGAGTGCGTCCATCGTCACCAAAGAATCTTGAAGAAAGTAGAGAAGATAACGCTGCGGAAACAAGTGAAATGAATGAAGAAAGGCTTCAGCTGGAGGTTCTCAGGGTCCAGCGTGCCTGCAAAGGAATGGAGTGGCTGGAGAGGATTTTAATTCTCGAACCTGAAAAAGAAGTTGAGGAGGAAGAGGTCACCGAGGAATGTGAAGAGCTGTATAACAAAGAACACCAGTTGACCGAACAGGTGGAGGTTAAAGGGGAGGAGGCAGAAGAAGAGCGCTTCAGAGAAGTAGAGAAGGAAGGCAGAGAAGCCAGATTTGTAATTGTCGGCTTTCATGCAGTCCATTTTGTTGTTTGGGATCCAGTGAGGCAGGAGAGACTGTTAGCAGTGCCTTGTGGTGGGGGGCACCGCTCTTGGAGTCTGTGGCCATCCCACAAAGGAATTTGGCTCGGATATGGAGCTTTGGTGTTTATCAAGCAGGGGGCAGTCCTGGCTTCACAGCCCCCCGGAGAAGCAATGGGTTGGGATGGAAAGACAGGAAGGGCTGGAGGAACAGGACTGAAAGATGGAGTCCATGGAAGAGGAATTGGGTGTGTATGCAGACTGGGGAGGATAACAGACTTTGGGAACGGGAATCAGGCAAACCACTGGGAGTTAGTAGTGACAGGTGGAGAGGACACTAGCCTGAGTGTCCTGGCGGTACATCCCTTTTCTGGCAATATTAAAGTTCTTTCAGTTATTACCGACCACATCTCGAGCATCCGCACGGTGACTGCGATTGTTCGCCCAGAGGGGGGGAGTGAAAGCCAGTCAAAGCCTCTCTCTGCTCTGCTCGTGTCAGCCGGTGGGCGGGCTCAAATCCAAGTTTACCGGCTGTTAATTGTTTGGGACGGGCAGAGACTGGCTCCTTCCTGTCAGGTGATCCAGGTAGCCAGTCACCGTTTGGACAAAGAGTGGGAGAGGAGGCGCAACAGACACAAGATGGTGAAAATGGACCCGGAAACGAGGCAAGTTTTTTAAAGCTAGTGTTTAGATAGCCTCTGACCTCCTGTTATTTGTTCTCTGCATATATTTTCTCTTCCTCACAAAGACAATCTGCTGTTTTTGTTGTTGTTGTTTTTTTTAGCTGAATATAACTTCAGTGTTTTTGTTTTTTGCATTTTAAAAAATGCACCTCTGATTACAGCTCTCGTCTGTGTGTTTTCAGGTACATGTCTGCGACAGTGGTGGATGAAGAAGTAAACCGTGTCCTCGTGGCTCTGTCCTGCAGTGACGGGGCTGTCAGGTTGGTATTCATCACAGCAAGGGTTCACACAGCTGGAATTTTCATTGAAGCTGCAGAAAAGAGAAAATCAGAGTGTCTTCGCATTGAGTTGATGCTCTCAAAAAGTATTATATTCAGTACTGGGGTGATGGTACTGGTGATTATAATAACCATAATGATGAATGTAACAGAATCAAAGGCTTTACATTTCATTTATGTGTGTCCGACTGTGTATTGTGGCAATAATGAGCTGCAATCATCAGTTTTGTATTTTCAAGTATTTTT